TTTTTTTGCTCCTAATCTGATCACTAACATTACAAGCACTTCTCAGGGAAGGGTATGACCACTGTGAGGGTATGGCCAGGGACACATTCATCCTGTGGAAGTTTATTAATTTCTCAGACATGCACCAATCACCTCTCGTAGTCTTTTCAATTTTCTCCACTCAGCCACACATTAGCCCATGTCCTGTGTTGTACAGGTGGGGGTCTCTGAAGCAAGTCTTCTACATTCGGGGCACATCATGAGAAGGCAGGGTTCTTTGGAAAAGACCACAATGCTGGGGAAAATAGAAAGCAGCAGGCAAAACAGAAGACCAGATATGAGAATGATTGACTCCATAAAAGAAGCCATAGGCAGGAGTCTACAGGAGCTGAGCAGGGCTGTTGAGGGCAGAACATTGTGGACATCACTCATTTAGAGTCACCAGGAGTGGGAGCCAACTCAACAGCTGTAACACACACTTATTTCCTAGTCTGTCAATCAGTGTTATTTCAGGGGAGGGAGATGGAAAGTGTAAAAGCCCCAAAGCTCACTTCAGAGTCTTAATCAGCAAGAAGAAAGCGGGGGAATCTGTAGGTCTGGTACAGGTAGGCACAGTTGTCCTACAGATGGGCACTCTCTTCCCTCCTCCATCCCCACACACAAACACACTGTAATGTAACTATGGCTGTTTCCATAAAAGCAGTCTTATCCAAAGGACAGAAATGAGAACAGAGGCACAACATAGATTGCACACTGTATTCTTGGTGAAAAGGGATTCAGTGGTGGAAAAGGAATGTCCCAGTGAGGTGGGGTTCCAAAATATACAATCACTAATGTAAAAACAAAACACACACACACAAAAAAACAAACAAAATACACACACACACACACACACACACACACACACACACACTAACATTCTGGACCGTGTGCTACAAAAATGAATGATGATAGAATTGAAGAAACTGATTTAACCAAGGCTACATAGCCACTACATAGTGGGCTGGAATTCAACGTCCATGTCAGAGCTATAACCTTAACTCCAGTTTCTAATGTCTTGTGTGTTATGTGGAGTTAAATTAGGAAGGGGTAATTTATTTTTTTTAAAATTACAAGAGTAATGGGCATGGGAAAGGACTAGTCACATAATATCCCAACTGCAGGAACAATTATTTATACTGGTTAGAAATTCACTTGGACACCTTTCTCAAGTTGGGGGATCTCTGTAATGGACTTTTGGGTGTCCTCAGCCAAGTGGCTGGCTGACCTTTCCCTCACTCACATCGGTTTTTTGTGGCATGAAGTATTTGCAACCAGAGACATTATATGCAGTGCCCCAGTGACCAGCAAACCTAAATGTCCCAGAAGGTAAAACTATGGGAGCTGGGGCTGCAGGGAGGTGATACATCCCGCAGAAGGCAGGTATAAAAGTTTGATTGGGTGTTCAATAAGTGTTATGAGAACTCTGTATCTCAAGGGTACTACTTTAAGCACAGTTCCAAGGCATGAAAGAACTTCAGAGTGCCTAGTAATAGAGAGGAGTTTTCTAAATAGTGGAACCAGCTTGAAACATCAAATTGTAACCATAACCAATGACAATCTTTCCTCTTCCAAAAAGTCATAATCCATAGTCTGATATAACTGTCATAATTACAACTGCCACAGGTAGAGCTGGCATTGTTGGTGACCAGAAGGCAGAGAACACATCAAAATCTAATTAATTGATGCTGAGTACCATAAAGCAGATCATCTCCACCTAATATATTCCAATCAGTCAAGGCTCATAGTATTATACATGTAAAATAAGTGATTATTCTGAATGAAAGACTCTTAATTATTTTTTTATCTTGTTTGATTGGATTTCCTGAATGTTTCAAAGTAATTGCTTAATTTTTCTATATAAGAAAATGTCAAAAACACATCGTGGACCAGATGGTCTGCTGTGTTTGCTTCTTGCTAGGAGAGGAAAGTGTGCTAACTCCACCATATGAAAAGAAAAAAGAAGAACACAGAGCGGATTTACCCTAATCTCTATCCAAAATGGAACAAGCTAGCAGAACATGGCTAAATTAAAACAAAAAATAATTCAAAGGTAATTCCCATTTTCCTGGAAAGCCATTTTAATATTGTACTAACTATAAATGTGTCTGACAATCTCAGATTTAATTTCATATTAGGTTTACAAACATACACATTCAAAACCCTTATCAGAGGAAAAAGGAAGGATAATGTCAACCTTTCCTCAATAATTTTTCTTGACTTACGTTTTAAGTTCAAAGTAAGCAATTACAGTCAAACTGTGGGCTCCATAATAACTTTAGATTATGAACAAAGTTAGAGATACAAATAATAAAGATAAGAACAAATTGGACAGTTTAGTGTCTAGCATTTAAAATGTTATATTTTCTGATATTGTCAATTTGAACTGGGTGAAAAAGGAGAAAACGCATTTCAATTCAAAACACAATTTTTACAAATGGGAAATAAATTAGAAATACTCAGGGCTCTTTTGAAAGCTCCTCCATTTTGAGGTCCTATGTGTCTTCCAAGCCTTTATAGACACCAGATCTATATTTTATAGTGTCAAATTTATGTTCTAAGTTTCAATGCTTTAAGAAATAGGTTTGCATCAGCTAAATAAATAAAATATTTTAAAATTTAATCAATAATTATTTTCAGCAATAATTTATTATTAGCATTTTGTGGATGTTTTCAGATGTTATAAAAAATGTACAGCTTTTATCTAAAACTAAAACATGCAGTTTTGAAATACTGTATTTTTAAAAATCCCGCTTTCAAAAAGCACACCTAACTGTTATAAGGGTCATTTAGAAGACTTCATAAAGTTTTCAGCATGGGGACAAATGTGAAATATCAAGATGACAATGTAACATTGTCATAGATTATATGCTATAAGAAAGCATATGCAAATTATAAAATTCCCTCTATATTTTGACCATTTTTTCATGAACACACAGTCATGCACTGTATATGGTCAATGATGGTCTACATACATGACAATGGTCCCATCCTATATAATAAAAGGCTAATATGCAAACAGACTGAACGGCAGAACAACCAAACAACCGGTTGCTATGATGTGCGCTGACCACCAGGGGACGGGTGTGGCCATGGTGGGATGGTGATGCAGGTGAGCAGAGGGTGCCAGACCAAGGTGAGGCACTGGTTGCTGTCATTGGGATGAGCTTCTGGTGGTTACTGAAAATTCTTTGCTCCAGCGTGCCACAGACCTGCACAGGCACTGCTCATACCCACAGCTGGCGCCATCAGCACATGGGAACCTCAGCGGCAGGAGTGGGGCTGCCAGCAGACAGGGAACTGGGTGTTGGGGAGGGAGGGAGTGTGGAGGATGGGCCAAGACCCACCCTTGTGCCTACAGCAGTCTCACAGCCCACAGTTCCTTTCAAGATGCACAAATCCATGCACTGGGCCCTAGTATTCTATGATGTTTGCACAAAGATGAAGTTGCCTAATGATACATGTCTCAAAATGTATCACTACCATTAAGGGGCACATGACTAGATAATTCCAGTCAATTACTAAATGATTTTTTTAATGCAATAAGTAATGTGTCACTAATAGGTGCAATGCCAGTGAAAATATTATAGTACCACTAGGGACCCAGTGCACAACACTCGTACATGGGGGAAGGCATCCCTCAGCCCAACCTGCACCTTTTCCAATCTGGGAGCCCTCAGGGGACCCCTCTCCAATCTGGGAGTTTCTGTCTGTCTTTGCAATCATATGAGCAAATTGTCTGAGACCCCAACCCAGTTTGGTTTGGTGCTCACAGAATAATAGTCCTTTATTTTATTTTTTTTCCTTTGCTCCATTGTAGAGATTCCCTAGAGGTTGCAGGATATCTTCCTTTTAATTTGTCCTTGACACTCTGACTTTACTTATGTCTCTCACCTTTGCTTTCCCTCCATCCCCCACCCACAATAGTAACTTGCTCCAGGCTCACTTTGCTCTACTGTCTAAGAGATCCCACAAAGCATCTGCCACCAGAACTAAGATTCCCAGCATTCATGGTGCTCCCCGTGCTCGGGCTTCCACTTCCAGTCCAGGGGCTGCCACAAGAACTAGGATTCCCAGAATTCCTGGTGCTCACTGCACTCTCGGTTTCCATTTCTAGTCCAGGGGCTGCAGAAACCAAAGGGACTTGGAACTCCAGCCACCCCCAGGCCAGACTGACAGGACCAGACACTCCAGTGGCATCCCCAGGACCCCAGCCACTGGGCTCCTGTGCACATACACACAGCCCACAGGCCCACCATCTGTCAGGTTAATTTGCATACTCACTCCTGATTGGCTGTGGGTATTGCAGAGAGTATGGTCAATTTTTATATTTGTCTATTATTGATATAGATTAATAATTTAAAAATGTAAGAGTCATCCTGAAAAAAAAAATCAATATATTTCAAAAATAATTTTAAACTTATACTTCAAATAGCATTTGATTTTAAGGTTATAGGAAATTCAGAAAATATATAATTAAAAATAGTTTTAGTTTTATTGACAGGTTGTGGATGGCTTCTTTTAATTGATAATTTGAGTTTTTAATCATACATCTTAAGATATTAAAAAAAGGAGTAATTTTAAACTCAGTCCTTAAGTAATTCATTCTGAACCCAATTTTTTCTTTTCACATTTTGCAGTTGAAAGTTCTATTGTTGTTATATTAAGGACAAAAAAAAAAAAGCTTAAAATATGCATCTTTGAAGAAAATAATATATTAATGTAAAATCACACAAGAACACATCAAACCATTCTTTTTCAGAGGTTTAATTTTAACTAATGAATTTTAAACGATGAATATAATAGCAATCCAAATCTTTGCTTATTTTCAATGCACAAACTATTTTTTGTAATTTGGAGGTGAAATAAATTCTTTTCACCATAACAATGCTTTCACACTTTTTATGGTCTTTCTTTTTCCTTTTGTATTTTTTTTTTCTCCTTGTTTTCTTCACCAGTTTAACAAGTCACTTCTAGCTTGGCTAAATAGAAACTCTAGCACAATAATGCTTCAACTTGCATGGAAGAACACCTTTATTGAGTTGATAGAACTCCACCAGCTGGATTAGATCCGTAAACCTTGTGTGGCCATCATCCAAGGTGTGGAACATCTTACCATCGTCTTCCACCTGCAGGAGAAAACTCAGGACAATCATTCCATTGCATAATGTGTCTTTATATAGAACAAAACTAACAAGTTTATAAAACTAAAGGACAGTGAAAAAATGTTATGACATGCTTACTTTTTTCTTTTTAATTTCACTTGCATTTGAAAGAAATATTATTTGATCCTAGAATAAGCAATTTGGCTGTACTTCGTGCAATATTCTGAAATTGGAATAGCATGACTACTCTGAATCAATATACAGTGAGAAATCTGCACTATTCAGTCTATTAATGATCCCATTTACAGATATTAATTTCTATTTCTAAATGTTGACTACCGAACAGGCTCACTTAGTATATTAAAAATGAATATTCACACAATTTGTATCAGTAAATTGATTCTGAAGCAATCAAGTATTATGTTAATGGGATGACAGTGATTTTTTTTTCTTTAGTCAGTGTGATCTTCTGGCATTAAGCAATTCATAACTTGCCAGGGACATCATTCACATAATCAATGAAGCAGGAAAGATACTTCATATAGACTCTGGATAATTCCAAAAAGAGCCATTCAAAAGGAAGTACAGAAATTTAGCAATCTCATGTAACACTTTGCTGAAAGTAGAATAATTCTCTATTGCACACTACCTGATTCTATAATAGTATATAGATCACGTGCATACACACATACATATACACACACTCACATACGTATGCACACAGATGTATACACACTCACATACACACACACACACACGCAGCAGCAGCAGCAGCAGCAATAAAAACTCCAAAGCAAGTCGTTCCACTCAGAAGCAGAATTACAAAAACTTTTTTAATGTGCTCAGAATAGTTTAAATGATCTCTAGTTCTGCAGCACCTACGTATCCATCCACACTGATTAAAAACAAAAGTACAAAACAAATAAACAAAAAAACATGTGGGGATCAGAGAGAAGGGCTTTAAAACAATAGTTTGTAAAAAATCATCAGTAGAAGTTAGGAGAGAATCTTTAGTGACCTTTTAACAATAGGTGGCAGGGAGTCTATACAATATTGCTAAATCGTATTTCATGGGAAAAAGAAAATTTAATTTTTACAATTCCTGTATTTCTTATATTAATTCAGATCCATAAAACCACTTAAGCCAACCTTAACTCTAGGCAAAGCACAAGCTCTCAAATTCAATTTAATAAAAAGACCCAAAGTTTCTGAAAGCTTATGCATTAAAATCATCTCTAACATAGGAATGTGAAACCACCAAATACTTACTGGTAGGATTTGAAAGTGCTTTATTTTTTGTGCATGACACATTGACAGTACGAACGTTCTAGGGTTACTCTGACTATCCCGCACCAAGAAAACTCTAAAGAAAGAAAGAATTTCAGTATGTTTCTTCATTTACTTATAGTTTTCATATAAGTACAGCATATACAGAATCTAAAAAATATGTACATAAATGCAGCCAGAGTTTTCTTTCACTATGTATTCAATGATGGGATTATCCAACCTGGTAAATAATATGGTATAACATTACTTCCTACTATCAAACTGTCATTAGTGCTAATTTTAAAAGGGTAACTATAGAGCCCATTTGTCAGATTGTTTGCTCTCAATAACCAATGTAATGTTGTCACGGCATCAATAATTAGTGCTGTGTCCTTTTTCCACTGGAAATTTAGGTATTTGCATGTAACTGTTTTGTACAGAGAATGAATAGGGCACTAGCATATTTTCATTTTAAGTAGTGGGTCATAATAGGTGCTGAAAGAGAAAATTACTTAAAATAAAATAATTTTTAACCTCCTCCTCTGGACTCCTTTTTTTCTTTTGTTTCTGGTTCCTACTGTTACATGTACAACAGAAAGTGAGAAATGAATATATTCTAAAAAGAAAAAAAAAAATCAATCCTAAAATCATTTTTTGAATGTTTGAGTATAATATTTTGAGATAAAGAAACACCCAAAGAACATGTACTCTAACCTTGGAAAATGCAGCATAAAAGCCTCTATAATGTCAGGCTAGAAAAGCAAGACATGGAGTAATATCCTAAGAGAAAAGTGCTATCTGGCGTGGATTCGTATTCACTGGCAATACAGGGCAAAACCAGCTTTGTATTACTTGTTGTCACTCAGAGTAACCAGTCCCCACTGGTGGCTCCAGTACTAATCTCAGTGTAACAAGGCAAAGAGGCAGCCAAACTTGAGACATCCCATGTTATCTATGCTATGTGAGAATCTGACATTGTATCACTGGGAGCTGGGACAAAAGGGAGTTTCATTATGAGTCCCTCTCCATTCCCCAATAAATCATCACTGCCACCTAGTGGACTGTCTGGCAGCAGCACATCTTTCCAAAGAATGTTAATTAAAATAAAACATTTTTAAATTAAAAATACAAAGATACTATTATTCTTTATGCAATTATTCCTTTCAATTTACAAAAACTGGGTTCATAAAGAAGGGAAATTATAATCTCCAAAACATTTTATCTCTACTCTATGATTTATTTCTTTTCTTGATCTCATCAGATAGTAATTCTGCTGACTGTCCAAATTTATATCTAACAAGACTGCTCCACGCAGGAAAGCATATTAAAATATTTTCTTATTTAGAGTCTAGTGGAATTCTGACTTGCTATTAATAATCTTCCATGTGAAGATGCATTTTTATCCAAATGTCAGTATTAAATCACCTTGAGATCTTGTCATCATCTTAAGCTAACCATTGAAAGATATAAGATCCCATCACCCTTTGTTTAAATTGATGTTGGTTTCATTTATCATCCAAACCTCAATACAACCTCATTAATTTGGATTGCATTTGGGAAGAGAATTTAGCCAGTATTATATGAAGTATCTGAAATACTTTGAGGAAAGGAAAATTCTTTAGATTATAAATCATTCATAATACATTTTATATTTCTACTATATCTCCCAAAATGCCTCAGTAAAAGATAACATGAGAAACAGTCAAGAAGTACTCTTATAGGTTTATAATACTTAAAGCTTTTAAAATTTAGAGGAAAAAAACTAGAATATAAACAGAAAGAAAAAAAAAAGGCCATCTAAATGTATAAGAAACTTTTTACTTAACAGACCCTGCATCAAACTTTAATATTAGTGATCATTATTTACCAACAGGGTTAAATCACTTTCACTTATGCACAAATAGTAAGCACACACAGTGGAACAGGTTTCTATAAATATTGCTAGGATACTTTGGCCACCATCCTTATAGGACAAAGTCACTTCCGTTTCCATAAGCTGAAGTAAAAAATCTTTGTGTTGTTGAATAAGTAATTACAGGCTATAGCAGGAAAAAAAAATCAGGACCATTCGCTCAGCCATGTTGCTCAGTGGTTGCGTATTGAGCCATGAGCTAGGAAGCTACCCATTCAGTTTCTGGTCATGCATGGCACATGCTGGGTTATAAATTCAGTCTCCAGTTAAGGGGCGTGCAGGAGGCAGCTGATCAATGATTCTCTTATCATTGATGTTTCTATCTCTCTCTACCTCTCCCTTCCTCTCTCTCTGAAATCAATAAAAATATATATAGCCCTAGCTGGTTTGGCTCAGTGGATAGAGTGTCAGCCTGCAGACTGAAAGGTCCTGGGTTTGATTCCAGTCAAAGGCAAATGCTCAGGTTGCAGTTTCAATCCCCAGTAGGGTACGTGCAGGAGGCAGGTGAACAATGATTCTCTCTCATCATTGATGTTTCCATCTCTCTCTTCCTCTCCCTTCCTCTCTGAAATTAATAAAAATATTTTTTTAAATAATATATAAATTTCTTTTCTTTTTTTTTTTTTTTAAATCACGACCATTCAAAATCAAACTTACCCATCCACAAGACCTTGCTGAATAATCAATCGCTGAGCTTCATCTCTAGAAATTCTGTGGTGAAACCACGGTTGGGACCAGTGGATAGCTGGTGAAACAGAGGGAAGGAATAAAAGCTCTGTATGAAAGGATCACAGTTTAATGACATAAACTTTCCACCAGGACCCCTCAGTGACTGCCTGAATGCCCTCCCCTGAAACCCCCGTGCAAGTGCAGACATACCCATGCTTATGGCGGAGCGCTGTGAACAGGCCCTGGGGCTACTGTGGCTGCCCAGGCGTAAGCACGCTTTTTTCTGCACAAAGAAGGAAAAAACACATTTCACCTTTCTGGGTGAAACAAACTGAAATCGTCAATGTTTTTAAAGAACATGAACCGATTTGTACCCTCCACGCGAGTCCTTCTTCAACTGCAACTAAAAGGGCTTCCGTGGGATTGTCTATAATTCTGCTTTTCTCGCCTGAGAAGTCCATTGCTACCAGGGAATTCTCTGATATACTTCTCTGGAAAAGAAAACATTTTTTTTTAACCAGAAAAATGTATTTGAAGTCATCTTACAGTGCTTTGCTGGCAATAGGTTTTCATTCTAGGACGTGGTTTCAAAGGTGGCTAGCAAGAAATGAAAATGTTAAAAATACATATTCAAGATAAAACAATGCAATAAGATAGTTTGGTTAAGTAAGTTATACAGTATTAGGTAAGGTCATTGAATTGAGTGCTGGAGTAAAGGAATTAAAAGTTTTCAAGGTAAAGCATAGTTTCTCCTAAAACAACCCTCTCTTCATATTTTCTACTAAAACAGGAAAATGCCAATTTAGAAAGGAATTTTTAGGCCTTCCTGTAGCTAAAAATATTCATTACCTCCAAAGTCATCTCCCTATTGTGCTTTGACAATTATCATTTAAATATCAAATCTATCTACTTATGAAACAGCTATATGTTATGATTCAAGATATGATGAAACTATAACAAACTGACATATCGTTTCTCCAGAAAAACTGCTCATTTTTTATAACTGTCTGTATTTTATTTTTTAATATATTTTTTTATTGATCTCAGAAAGAGAAAGGGAGATGCAGAGATAGATAAAAACATCAATGATGAGAATCATTGTTCAGCTGCCTCCTGCATGCCTCCTACTGGGGACTGAGCTCGCAAGGGAGCATGTGCCCTGATCGGGAATGGAACAGGTGGCCTCATGGTTCATGGGTCAGTGCTCAACCACTGAGCCACACTGCACGGGCAATGGTGCTCATTTTATAACAGAACTAAAATATATATTTAAGTTTATCACCTCAACTTTTATCTAACGTAGAAAATAAAATTTAATAAAATAACTCCACATTATTAAATTTTATTTTATTTAACATATGAATAATGTTTCATTTCCTGAGGATAAATATGGCAAAAGGAGGCTGCAAAAATAAGTCAATGACAAAAGAAGAACTGATATAACAAGAAGACATCTTTAAACAAATAATAATATATTTCTAATTATTTTTCATCAGTTATTTTTTGTATTGATATTATTCTGAATGTGAAATAAAATATAAAAAATCTATACTTTTTGTTTAGGGCTCTACTTCCCAACCATATTTTTAAATGTTTGCCACCCCACATCATGCATCTTTAAAAAAAAGACAATTGTCAAAATCTCCAGTCAAGAGTGTCACTCAGTTTTTTAAGAATTAAAATTCTGCAAAGAGCCTGGACAGTATGGCTCAGTTGGTTGAGTGTCCTCCCATGCAACAGAAGGTTAATGGTTCAATTCCTGATCAGGCCATATGCCCGGTAGGGGGTGTGCAGGAAGCAGTCCTTTGATGTTTCCCCTTGCAGATGAATATTTCTCTTACTCTTTCCCTTTCCCTTCCTCTCTATCTAAAAATCAATTAAAATATTTTTTACAAAGTTCATTTTATTTCAGAGAGAAAGGAAGAGGAAGAGAAAGATAAAAATATCATTGATGAGAATCATTGATCTGCTGCTTCCTGCACGCCCCCTACTGGGGGATTGAGTCGCAGTCCTAGCATGTGCCTTTGACCCTTCAGTCCACAGCCCAATGCTCTACCCATTGAGCCAACGAGCTAAGGCAAAATTCACTTTTTTAAAACAACCTTTCTTTCTTTTCTTTTTAAAAAATCTTTATTGTTGAAAATATTACATATGTCCTCCTGTTTCCCCCATTGACCTCTTCTAGCCTGCCCCCACACCTTGCCCCGGGTCTTCAACTATTGTCTGTGTCCATGGGTTATGCATGGGTTGAGTTCACTTTTAAAAATCTAAAATAAAATAAAACTCTCCAAAAGAAAAGAAAAAAAAAAAAACATTCAAAACCAGCATGGGCGATGTTTACCAGTTATTCTCCACTAGTTGACAGAGTTGCAGAACAAAAAAGGAAGTCTAATGATAAATGAGCCAATGCACATTAAGAGACTCCTGGCTTAAGATCATTTTATCTCTCTCTGCTGGGCTCAGCCATTCCCAGCGTGTCCACATGTGACTACATGTGTGTTTTAAACCTTGTCACACACAGAAAAACCAGGGGGCTCATTTATCCCCACATCCACACTGCACTTTTAAGCATCTGTTATTTCCTCTTCAGACCAGGCTATGGTAGTCCACAATCTTCCTAAGGTTCAACTTTATTTCTAGAGACCCGGCCTGCAATCTTTTATTTGTTATCCGAGCCTTTGTAACTGACAGATGCTCTTGCCAGACAGACGCTGTCCCTGTAACCTCCGTCTTCAGTCACACCTGACTCTGCCCTTTTCACCAGTGATCTTCTGTGCTCGGCTGTGGACCAGGTGGATACATTTTGCTTTGCCCACTTTAATAAAAAGCCTCTACCTGCCCAAACCACAGACCATCTAATCTCACTCAAAATGGTAGCTGCATCCTTATTAGCTCTCTACTTCACCTGCCAAGATGGGCTTTGTAATCTCAAGGTCCTAGTGGCATAAAAACACTTTTAGGAGAGAACAGTAAATGTACTCAGTGTTCTTATTTTTGTTTCCTATAATATGATAGGCCAATATATGAAACAAGATCTTATGCTCCATCATTACTTGACATAAGTAGGGAATCTACAATAGAAATAAGTCTTTTCATTTGCTATATTACACTAGAAGGAAACATGGGAATATAGCAAATTTTTCTGCTGAATGGCAGGTGGTAATGAAAAATTAATAGTTTAACTTTGGTGGACAAAGACATGGAAGAGAAGCAAGATCATACTTGAACTCAAAAAGTCATTTTCAGCTCAATTTCTTTCACATAGAAAAGCAATGTTGATATTCAGAATGGGTGTATTTTTCCCTATTCTGAATAGCATTTGTCCCCATTTCCAGCTCTTTCTTCTAGTGGGATAAACAGGGAAAGCCCTAAAAAAGGGTCTATGATTTTAAGGGCATGCCTCTTTTTTCTTTTTTTAAAGAGAGAAAAGACCTGGGACAGTCTGGATTATCCAGGCCGCACAGAAAGACCAGATCCAGTCCTTCTAAGTGGACATAAATTGCTTCTTAGGCAGTTCAGCTAGGTGGCAACTAGTTGCCACCTGAAAAGATCTAGATAAAACTGCAGTTTAGTCCTTAGCAAGAGGGCACAGAATCTCCTCAGACATTACCTCTTATCTGCTTCATACAGAGCCACAAAACATCAGAGATGAAATTGATTCTGGAGGTTATTCAACCACCCCCGGCATATACTGCAGGACACCAGTGATCCACGATGGTCACAGGGGCAGCTTCTGGTAAAAGCAGTGACTGATGGGCTCTATCTAGGGTACCTTTATGCACCACGGAGTAGGGGGTACAGGGCAGAAATGGTGGCACGGAATGCCCAGCTCAGGGTCAAAAGTGAGGAAGAATAAGAATTTCTGTAGACTTGTTTTTCCCATCCCCTCACTCCATCCAGGACCATGTTAACAGATGACCTTTTAAATGAATCCATTGTTTTCCCTAAAAAGGACCAACTCTATTTGGCTTCCTGAAATACTTGCTTCAAAGGTTGACAGGGGTGGCTACTAAGTGCTATAGGTAGCTAAGATGTTCATTATGGCATACGAACATGTTTTTCTCATTTCCTTTCTCAAAATGTATCTCTGAAGATAAGATGATACTGCTGTTCCTTCAAAACCATAACTAAAATACACTAACTTTTCTTTGTTCTCTGAAAATAGTGCTAGGATGAAAACCAGCAGAGGCAGGTGAGGGGCGCTGGTACACATTACATAGGTCACTGATAATCTAGAAAAGTGGGATTCTGTATAGATAATGCAAGTATTTCCCCAACAAGTATTTCCTTCATGTAAATTAAGAAGAGTGGAGCTCAAATCTCAAATGCTCTTTGACTGTGACAACTGCCTTACAGGAGAGACAGTTCCTCACCACACAGTCACCTAACCCTTTTCTCCTCCAATCCTATTTCCAATCAGATTTACTTGAGGAGTGTCATTTCCTATACATAGTATTGAACAAGGAAAACTATACCAACCAACCTGTCATACAACTATTGACCAATAGTAGGATCACTTACAACGGAAACAAGCACAAATAATTACGTTCTTATATGCTAATGACAGTGGTGAGAGCAGAAAGTTCTTTATGACAATTTTTCCCCCATGATTAAGAGGGCACTAAACAATAATTGCCTTCAAAGCTGCTGTTAACACGCTCATCCTAATAACTTTACACTCTCAAAGAAATGTAGGAGGATTTAGAAAAGGATTAAGATAATAAAATTCATTATTCTTTTTATTCATATAGATTGAAAGATAAAGATAAGCTGACAAATTATAAAAATACCTTAATGCAGTTGCTTTTATAGAAATTCATTGCATTCCTGTTTCTTATTTTAAGGCTTAAAAGTGATATGATACAAAGATGAGAAGTTACTCTTCCATAACTTATAGTTAAAGCAACATAACTACAGAATTGGAGTTCTTTTTCCCTATTAGCCTATCTGGCTTTATAATCAACATTATTTCATGCCTCATTCCTAGAAGCGAGCATTTCATCTGCTGCATTACATGTGGGGAAATGTGCCTGCCTTGGTCACAGGCACGCGGAGCATATTTTTAACCTAAGTGAAAGTGCAGCACGTTAGCTGATTTGTAACACATGCACATATGTCTGAATTCCTGATATATTCAATGTTAAGAAGCACAGATGAAAACAGCAGAATATAAACTTTAAGAAATAGAGGCATGAATACATGGAACGGTCTGTCAGCGGTCAGAGGGACCCGAGATAAGGGGGACAGGATGAAAGAAGATGATGAGATTAACCAAAAAAATCATATCATATGCATTGTCTATGGACATAGACAACAGTATGGAGATGGTGCGAGGGAAGGAGGAGAGGGCTGGGTGGAAGTGGGCAAAGGGAGGGAAAGGGGGACATCTGCAATAGTATCAATAATAAAAATAAATAAAGTTCTTGCGTTAATGTACAGAAAATTAAAATAGGTCCTGAAGAAGAACAAAGATGTGTTTGTGTGTGTCTGCAAATAAATACCCACATTGTATTCAGTACAAATCTGAAAAGCAGCAGTAGACTTAATATAATAATGCATGGCCTACATTTTAGATGGCAATTTGGGGGTTTTCTGTTAAAATATTTTTGTATTTTAAGGACATGGAACTTTAAGAATGTTATTGTTAGAGAGCCAGAATGCAAAATAGTGCACATATGTATAGTACAGCTTTAAAAATTTCAAATATTTATAATAGACCATCCAGAAATAAATAAGCCCACACTAAGAATCAATAATTAAGAAAACATTTACAAACTCAGAAAATATTCTATATATCATCTTATTAAGATCTAATCCTCAAATAATGAGGCAAAAGGACTCAAGTAATTCTTTCAAATATTTAAACATTTCTTTAACATATAGCTATTTTAATTGAATATTTAATATATACTCTGCTGCTTCGACTTTATCACATAGGCTGCAATCATATAAAATCAAAGAATAAACAATTCAATATAACATTATGGTAAGATAATGCCAAAGAGTTGCTTTACTTGACCAAAAGGAAAGAATGTAGATGCATTATTACGTGCATTTATTATAATGCCATGTAACTGCAAATTAACATCATATAAATACAAAATAAAATATAGGTTCAAGAATTTGGTGCTTACCATGGGTGATATACTCTGAGAACTGCAGCCACTTCTACCATGGCACGGATGCATGTAATTCTGGTACAGCTGCATGCCATACTGCAGAACAAATGAATAAAAACACATTCCACTGCTTTTATTGCATAGATAAGTCATAACAATTAATACTTTCATTAGTTATACACCATCAAAATAAAAACTAAAAACTTTAAGTGTTCCTTAAAACCAGTAAGTTAATAACAAAATGTTTGTAAGATGAGCATTCAGTTCCTTAAAAGGATGCATTTAAAAACAGTGTTTTTTATTTGGAGGCACTCTTCAGTGTAGCTCACCAGTATAGAGATCTGGAACTGACATTTCTAGACATTAGACACTATTTTTAGCGCCACTAGCACTAAAACTGTTCAGAGGGTTATGTCACTTACTGATAAGAACATGCACTTGGGAAGGATGCCAGGCTTTATGCTACAAAAATTCTGCAAACACATCCTAAGCAAAACCAGGTAAAATTCACCCATCAGTCATTGACAATGTCTCTGATCAATCATGGCATAGATCACATGGTCTGATCAATCCATGGTGGGGCTCTGTTCAAAGACCTTTGGCACTGCATAATCCTCCGGCAACAGTACTATTAGGACACGGTTTTATGGATGGCCTTACATTCAGGAAAACCAACCTGGTGGGGGAAATCAGGCTGATTTCAGACAAAGGGTCACAAAATACAATGTAAATGGCGATATATAAGAACTGCAGCGTCTTTACTTTTGGTAATAGCCTGATTTGGGCTGCCAGGCTGCAACTGGGAAATGGGTTTAAACTATAATACTGGATTATTAGTTTGAGAAACATTAAGTATGTCAACTGCCATGACCAGTCTTATCTTGCAAGGGTCCCTGTCTGAAACTGGAAGATAACCCCCTTAGATATAGGTCAGTTTATTTCAAAAGAAAGAAGGAAGGAAGCAGCCCCTGAGACAGACGGGCTAGTTTTGTTTTGGAGGAGGGGGGCGGTTTACACTCTACAGCTCTCCATTTCATAGAGCTAGGATGAACTTTAAAGTAGGTCCTACATAAAAATGATGAAAGAGATACCATCAAATCCAATGTTACCCTTAGGGTGAATACCATTTAAACATTCCAACGGAGCTGTTTCTCTACTATAAAGACTATTTCCTTAAAAGCAATTTCAGTGAGGTGGATAGATTTGGTAATTAGACAGAAAACCAGAGTGGAGTGCAGAAAGTTACTGTTTTCAAAATTTTTGCTTTCCCATATTCATTTAAAATTATCTGTGTTGACTTCTTTATCCTTTTTTTTCCCTCTCAAAATCTAAAAATTATTTTTTCTAATTTAAGGTTTGATGGACATTAATGAGACCTAATAAATTTTATTGTAAGTCAACTCTAAACCTACAATAATTTGAAAAAGAAGACAGAGGAGCTTAAATCCTAGTCAAGTTTGTTTTGAAGGATATACAATAACCTCCAACCAACGTTTTCATAAGGTGCATGCTGCTTGGCCTTTTATTTATCTGCAGTGAAAAGCCCTCTGCCAGCTAATATGACTGTTTTCTTCAGAGACGCATTGTCCCAGGTGCCTGCGGTGTTAGGTAGTTGCTTCAGTGCGGTTGGAGGCCTTTGGTCGGCATTTAACTCTGGCCAAGGAGTAGGGCAGGGGTCACCTTAACACTTCCCTGCCCCTGTAGAGGGGCAGGAAAGGAGACAGAATATTTAGAGTGAAGCCAGCATAGTTTTACCTGAGGGGAAGGGAAGGAGACATGTAACTAGGACACTGTACATGAGCAAATCCCTTGTCTAAGTCTCGATTTTTCTATGATTTTGTACGTAACTGGAATTTCTCCAAAGAGAGCAGGAGTATCTCCATCCGATGATACATGGGGAGTTTTTTATGTGTGCATGAAAACAAAAGGGAAATAAAATCCTTGGGGGAGCCTATCTCTAAAAAAAGTAGGATATAATGAAAACAAGAGGGCACTTCCAGTTCATCTCACATACTATAGCTGTTTCTCCCTGCTCCTCCCCACTAAGTACAGCAAGTGCTTGAATAATATCATTTTATCAGAACGTCAAAGAGGAAAAAAAGATAGACTCCTAGGCAAGGCCACTGTGTACGTGGAGTTTGCATGTTCTCTCCGTGTCTGTGTGGGTTTTCTCTGGGATTCCGCTTTCCTCCCACAGCCCAACCACGTACAACTGAGGTGAATCGGCATGGCCACACTGTCCCAGCCTGAGTGAGTGTGGCTGTGGGGCCTGGGCTGGAAGGGCGTCTTCTCCATGGCTGGTCCCACCTTGGGCCATGAGCTGCCAGGATGGGGTCGGCCACCCTCAATCCTGAACAGATTAGAAAATCGTTACCTCACTTGTTTTTATACACCTTTCTTAACAGCATGGATAGCTCACTTTCATTTCAATGGTTAAATGTTAGAAACATTCTGGGTCTTTATTTGGAAATGTGGTGATGTTTTTGTGACCAGAAATATGCCACAGGAAGTTAACTCCTATTTTTATCGATGAGACTATGGTAAAATGGGTTTCGTTACACATCGTTTCTAAAGTCGAAGTTTCCAAGAACCAGTAGAGGACGTTAAGTGAGGACTTACTGTGCCATGATAAACTCTGGAAATAACACAATAGACCCCCAAAGGAGACCATCTAAAGGTACCGCTAACACCAGGCAAGCCCAGGGGCACCAGCCATAGTGATCCAACAGGGACCCTACTGACCACCGGCCAGGGAAACCAGCTAAGTCCTCTAGTAGCGTGTCTGTGCTGACAAGCCCAGACTCCTAGCTCTGAATATTTTCAAGTATAAAACAGATGATATGACTTTCTTGTTTGAAACCCTTCACCAATTTCTCACTGGCCCCAGAATAAAGGGCCTCCCTGGCCCAGCTTGCATGCTCAATGGTTAAGCGTCAACCTATGAATCAGGAGGTCACAGTTAATTGGTTGCAGGCTCGATCCCCAGTGTGGGGCCTGCAGGAGGCAGCCGATCAATGGTTCTCTCTCATCATCTCTCTCTCTCCCTCTCTTTTGCTCTCTGAAATTAATCATAGATATATGTGTGTATTATTTTTTTTAAAGGGCCTCACCGATGGTGGCCTCCTTCTCCAGCCTCACCCAGAAAAGCTTTACTATAATTGAAGCAAATAGGGGACACCAATGTGGTAGCAGAATAATGGCCCCATAAATGCCCACCTCTGAATCTCTGGAACCTATGACTGTTAGGCTACATGAAAAATAGGAATTTGGTTGCATATGGGATTCAGGGTGTTAATCAGGTGACCTTGAAATAAGGTGAATATCCAGGTGGGTCCAATGCAATCACAAGGGTCCTGATAAGTAGAAAGGGGAACCAGAAGAGAGAGGACCATTGGCATGGTAGTATGAATAAAGCTCGGTGCACGATGCTGGATTTGGGAGCGGAAGGGGCCATGAGCCGGGAGTCTGGGTAGCCTCTAAAAGCTGGAAAGGACAGGAAATAGATGCCCTCCAACAGAGAATGCAGCCCTGCTGACACTTCCTTTTTAGGCCAATTAAGACTTCTGCACGGCAGAGGTGTAAGACAATAAATTTGTATTGTTTGAAGCCACAACCTTTGTGGCAAAGTTGTGTTAAATGAACTAGCATATAAATTTGAAAAAATATTTTCTATACATTCTGGAAGACATCAGTTCTGCGTCTCTCTTCTCTACCTACCATTAGAACATTCTTATGCCTTTCAAAATGCTTACCCACAAATTATGCTTATGAAGTTCACATTTCTAATTAACACAAAGGTAGACGCTTTAATAATGTATCTATAGTAATCTTTACATAATAATCTGAGATGTACGTAAAATAGAAAGCAGTTTACACAACACTTAAGTGAAACACGAAACTACTACACTAAACCTATCCAGGTGGGCCCATTTTAAAACATAGTTCACATCGGATGGATGGCCATGTTTTTAAAAATATACACTAAGTCATGTACAGAAGAAGTTTCCATCTGTTCCCGGCTCTCTGTGAAATACTCTTAGACAAAATTAAAATCAGAACATTTCTAGAACTGGAATACTCACTTCACACATAAAAGATAAATATTAGGTTACTCTATTCTACTCTACTCTGCAAATGTTTATCTTTTAGATAAAAATAAAATACACACATTGGAGGGCGGTGATTTTTCTTCTTCCTTCTCACATACCCACACAGACTCACAGTGAATCTCTGCGTTTTGAACTACAGCTATTTCCAAACCCTGATGGAACTCCCAGCATTTAATAGAAACGCCCAACTGCAGTGAAATTACCTTAAGCAATCGCACCGCCGTCACCCAGCACATCCTACTCTGCTCTTCTTCCGCACAGAGCATTTTCAGGTCTCGGGGCCCTCGCGCTTTGTTAGGCTAGAAGGCCACAGCACATTGTTTATCGTTAATGCATATCTTGAAGGTAACACCTGTTGAAATAAAAGCCACTAAAATTCTCCCATATATGTAAGAGAAAGCTGCCTCTCTCTTTTTTTTTAAGAAATTAAAAAAAGAACAAAAGGAAACAAAAAAGCCTAAGCTTACCTAAAAGCCTGAGGCTTGCTTTATTCATCTATCAAAATATTAAGCCTGTACCTTAAAGCAGAATCCATAGTTAGCTGGTGCTCCATGCTTTTTTTTGCCTGCCAGTGACACATAAATATCACTATTGCCAAATTCGCTGAAAAACTGCAAATGCCGTGGTTCCTAAAAAGAGAAAGTGTGTGAGTGTTGACATAGGTATGTATTTTACACCATATCTTTTGTTTTTCTGTTATAGTACACTAGAGAACCAGTGCATGAAATTCACCTGATTGGCCAGTAATCAGGGCCAATCAGGTTCCCTGCCTCCTTGCCTCCTCCTTCCTTCATTCCCTCAGTGCTCCGCCACCATCGCTGGTCACCCACCCGCCATGTTCTGATCCACCCCTGATGGTTAGCACACATCATAGCGAGTGATCAAACTCCGCTTGTTCTCCTGGTTGAACTACGGAGGGGACACTTGCATATTAGCCTTTTATACATATAGAAAGTTTACACCTTGGCAAGAATTATCACAAATAATGTCACAGAAACAGAAGGGGAAAAAAACTAAGGCACTCTATCTTTAAATAACCAGGGGTTAGGCACAATATCATTTAATTTGAGCAGTGGCAATTTTTCTATTATTTAACTTCCAATATACAACAACAACAAAAACATACTATTCCAAAATATTCCCTTTGAGTACCATTTAAAGGATTCCAAAGGATAGAAGCCAAAAAAAAAAATGGCTTTTGAAACTTTTTCTTTCTGAGTTTCAATCACTGTAGTTCACTAAAGGGAATAAGGTTGGTTTAAACTTCTGCAGCAGTTAGAGAAGAAAAAAGAGCAACAATGATTCCTGCTTCGTTCAGAAATAAGTATTTCTCACACCTGTGTGTACTGACTGCCTAACACACCACAGCAAGCAAGGAGATAGGAAGCATGACTATCTCCCTTCACTAACAGAAGGAAGCCTGTATCGATGAGCTCAGGGAAATTACCTGGCGGTGGGATGTGTCTGACTTTCAAGGCAAAGTGAAATCATGAATAGCTATCTCTTCTCTAGAAAATCCATGGGATTTAGAACTGGTCATGGGAAATCACTGGGTCATATTATTCTGCGATAGGTTAATAACTTAGAGAAGTGTTTAATTCTGGGGTTGAGTATATAATCAAAACTGACTGAAATACATTTGTTCTTTAAAACCCTGCTGCTGGTAGTATGGTCCTGGACCACACCAGCATTACCTGGGATTTTATTAGAACGGCAAAATCTCAGGGTCCACCCCGGACTCACTGAATCAAAACCTGCATTTTACCAAGCTCCCAGGCAATTCTTATGCACCGAGATTGAGAAACAATACTCTAAAAAGAAAAAGAAAGAAAAAGGCAGAAACCGAACATGCAGCAATTTTAGCAACCCATTCAAATCCTAATCCACAGAAATTTCAGTCATTTACCAGCAGGCTATGCTGTCCCCGATGATTGGCACAGTGAGAATTGCTATCCACGTAACTGTTTCTCTGCGTGTTACTATTCTGAGGCATTTATATCTAATGAGTGACTATAGTTCCAACTCCATGGGAAAATAACACAGAAAAGAAAATTGCTAAAATAGACCCAGCTCAGGGGCCATGAAACAAGGGAAGAGATAGGAGAAAGATACTCTAATTGATATGGCCTTTAAAGCTTAATTCCTAGAGAGGACTGATTTGTTAGTAAAAAGGGTCTGATTTCTATGAAGGTGAACTAAGACCATCCCTGTCCACTGATATACTGTACAAATCAATGTCACCAAGTCATTCAAATGTGAGAAAAAACAGCTCGAGAGACACTGGAAGTCCATACAGTCATGATGACTTTTCTCTTTTGATTGATTTTTTTCCATTACTATAAGCATATCAAGGCTTAGGACATTATACGACTACAAGACCGAGTTGGCATGGCTAGCAAAAGTTAAGCATGTGCATGTATACATCAGAGGGTTTGGAGAGGAGAGTGATTAGATGCTTTACCTATAAAAATAAGTCACAGTCATATTCCAAAGCTTACAGCAGTGGTTATCTAATTCCTACACAGCCTACATCTTTAGAAAGTAAAATAAAGTGACACCCTTTTCACAGAAAAAGAACAGGATATGGTCTCCTTGCCAGGTAGAAATATCAGTATTACACATTAAATAATCTCCATAATTTGTATCAGTCATAATTCTTGAGGCTATCTAATACCCCAAATTTATTTTTTGAGTGGAACTCAAAATCATTTTCATGTATAGGATATGGAACATGAGCTCACTGGCCATAGACTAAAGAAAACATTATGTACAGATGCACAGCAAAGTCAAACACTATGTTTAAAAAACTACAGTCTAGCCTATGAAAAGGGATTTGATGCTTAGGATTTTGCCAAGGCAGGGTGAAGACCACTGCAAAGACAAAATTATGAATTTATGAATCCAGGTAAGATCCCATCACCTCCACCCTAAACTACCAAAATTATCATCCAATTAAGATCTGTGCTGCTGCTGCTGCTGCTGCTGCTTCTTCTTCTTCTTCTTCTTCTTCTTCTTCTTCTTCTTCTTCTTCTTCTTCTTCTTCTTCTTCTTCTTCTTTCTTCTTTCTTCTTTCTTCTTTCTTCTTTCTTCTTTCTTCTTTCTTCTTCCTCTCTCCTCTCTCCTCTCTCCTCTCTCCCTCTCTCCCTCTCTCCCTCTCTCCCTCTCCCTCTCTCTCCCTCTCCCTCTCCCTCTCCCTCTTTCTCTCCCCTCTCCCTCCCTCCTCCTCACTCTTTCTCTCCTTGATTCTTTTAAACTCACTATGGTCATACTAATCTTACAACTTAATCATTATACTCTCTTGCTAAAACAATTTCACTGGTTTTCAATACTGAGTTGAATAATAGCACCCCAAAAAAATATGTCCATGCCTTAACCCTCAAGAAACTGTAACTATTTTATATTATTGGTTGGGACGTAAATCCAATGACAAGTATCCTTATGAGACACACAGGGAAAGGGAAGAAGGTCTCAGGAAGACAGAGGAAGAGACTTAAGTTAGGCAGTCACAGCAAAGGGGCACCTGGGTCCATGACTAGTCAAGACAGCTAACCCTCCTAAAAACATAAAGGACCAAATAAAGATAATGGGAAATACATAATGGATGAGCATTCCCAGCATAAAGGAAAAACAGGAATTTAAAGACTGAGTGCATATGTTGAGAATCAGGCAAGTTTTATTAGAATATATTTGAATGCACCTTAGAAATATAGCAGACAAATTACTGAACATCAATGGTTATAATAATATTGGAAAACAGCGAGAGGAAAAGGTCTGATTACCCATAAAGAACCAATAATGCCATCCCTGACAAAATACAATTAAAATAACTTATGAAAACTCCCCAAAGCAGTTTTTCTTGAAAGATATCGCTGCATTGCATGAAATGTCAACACTTACAAAATGCACACCATATGGCATAGTCCACATCGAATACAGTGCATAGAAACACAGACTGCACAGTGCCAAGCACTGTGTGAATTGCATGTGTGAGTGATTATGTATGTGGGTATGGACATGTGTGTCTATGCAACTGTAGACATAGATATTATTCAATACTCAAGCACACAAACAAATATATCTATCCCTGATCATAACATAATTTCCTCCAGGAGAGAAAACTAACAGACACAAAGGCATTAAAGAGCAATTACGGACTCAGCTGAGTTTTACTAATGGCATCAATAGCAATCAAAGTTCAGAATTGGGCAAGATTAGCGGTATGTCCTGGCATAAAAAGAAAAGGTTGTGGCTGAAACCAGTTTGGCTCAGTGGATAGAGCATCAGCCTGCAGACTGAAAGGTCCCGGGTTCGATTCCGGTCAAGGGCATGTACCATGGTTGTGGGCACATCCCCAGTAGGAGGTGTGTAGGAGGCAGCTGATCCATGTTTCTCTCTCATCGATGTTTCTAACTCTCTCTCCCTCTCTCTTCCTCTCTGTAAAAAATCAATAAAATATATGTTTTTTTTTTAAAGAAATAAAGAAAAGGTTGTGAACTATATTGGGGATCAAAATCTGCACCACAGGGTAAGGAGAAAAAAAAGCGAATTCATAATGGGAAAGATAAGCTGAAGATGTGGTACTGAAATAAGATCATCTAGATTCCATCAAAGGATGTATCTAGGGGGAAATAAAGCTGCATGGTTAGTTTTCAAACAGATTATAACAAATGTTTGGAATCCGAAAACATTACCAACTCTTGAGATCAAGTAATAAAGTAATAAAGAAAACAAAGTAAACCCCATTTTAACTTGCAACATCTATGATTTATGTAATCATTTATATTTCCAAGTACCTTTGATGTCCCTTTAGTAGAAAAATATAAACCAGATCTTCTTAGAAGGAAGTAAACCTTTTTCCAAGACTTCTTGCCCTGTTCTTTTACATGTAAGAAGCCATGGATTTCAGGGTATGTGCTTGAACTCAGAAACATCTGAAAAAAGAAATTAGACACACTGCTTTTAAATCAATGACATTGCACCTTTATATTAATCATGTTCAGATTTCAAATATGAACTTGTAAAATCTAACCATATCACCTATATACCACCTATATACCATTTCAGAAATGACAATACATATACAATAGGAATTAAATCAATCTTTTAAGCTCCAAGTGAAAATAGGTTTACAAAATATGTTTAGATTCTAAGCTATCAATACTTAGCCAAACATTAAAATTAGATGCTATTTGAATGTCCATATGAAAAATTACACTTCATCTATGGAATTAAGTCCTGACACTTTTCACTCTTTTCTATGATTTTTCCTGAGAAAATATCAATTTCAACTTATGATGGTGTAGGACCACAATCCTGACTTCAGATATTCAATTATTGAGAAAGTTAAGCCAAGTTCACCTCCTTGATGAGCGTAAAGCAAACTGTATCTCTGTGTCTCTAGGGTTCTCAGTTGTGAGTAGGTATGCCAGGTTACGTTTTCCAAAGAGAACTACAACCGTATCTTCTATTCCATGTGTTCTGTGAGGTGATCTAGCCACTGACCCACAAAGAGGTGGAGTCTGTTTCTTCATCCCCTATGAATTTCAGCAATGCTTGTTGGTGACTGCTTTGACCAATAGAATTGGCAAAAGTGACAGTCAGCTCGTTCTACTAGTAACTATAGTCCTTAACTAGCCTGATGGCTTCCACTACTTAACTCTCGGAGCTGGCTGTCACATAAGAAATGTGACCACCCTGAGAAATCCTAGAGGATGAAACACCACATGGGGAGAGAGAGAGAGGCCAAGGAGGACCAGGCACATGTAGTGAAAAGCCAACGTATAAGGGAATCTTCAGCCCCTCCGTGAATCAATGTGTCAGAAATAACCCACCTAGCCGAAACCGGTTTGGCTCAGTGGATAGAGTGTCGGTCTGCGGACTGAAGGGTCCCAGGTTTGATTCCAGTCAAGGGCATGTACCTTGGTTGTGGGCACATCCCCAGTAGAGGGTATGCAAGAGGCAGCTGGTCGATGTTTCTCTCTCATGGATGTTTCTAGCTCTATCCCTCTCTCTTCCTCTTTTTGAAAAATCAATAAAATATATTTAAAAAAGAAAGAAAGAAAGAAAGAAAGAAAGAAAGAAAGAAAGAAAGAAAGAAAGAAAGAAAGAAAGAAAGAAAGAAAGAACGAACCCACTTAGCTAAATCCTTTCAATTGTCTGACCCACAAAATTGTTGGCAAAATGTGAGTGGGTACTTAGGCCACTAAGGTGTGGAATAGTTTGTTACACGGTAGTAATTAAATGGCACATGTGTTGGTCAGGAAAAAAAGAGTATGAAAAGGAAGAGCTCTAAGTGGCTGTGCTCAGTAAGTATCATTAATAAAACAATGGAAATGCATTAGCATCTCATTAGAAGAAAATAAAAATGCCTATTAATAAATAAATGCAAAAAGCTAAAACTTGAAAGTAAGAGAAATTGTTAGCTAAAACAATGGAACATTTTAAAAGGCTACTCAGGGAAAGGCTGCTAGTAGATATTTATTTTTTTTTAAGTAAATTACTAATTTTTTTAAATTTAATGAGCTGCAGATATTAATTAATTGACATGCAAAACAGGCAAGTACAATTTTTAGTTTGAGTGCTTTCCAAGTTATTAAAGCAAACCAATTAAATTTTTAAAAGAGGATCACAGAGGTCACAGTATAAAAAGAAAAAAACATTTTAAAAACTGGGAACATCGCCTCAGTGGACAGAAGAGGTCAGTGCCAAATGCAAAAACCATCTGATTCCACGGCTTTGGTTTTTCTTGTTTTTATAACTTAACATTAAAGTAATATACCTACATTTTAGGAGAATTTTGGAAAGGAGGTGGAAGAAAAACTCCAATCCACCACCCTGTCTATCCCACTGGCGAGGCACTGGGAAGGCTGAGAGTTGAGGTGCTGGGCATTGCTGCTACCATTCCCCCTCATATTCTGATGGGGCATCTGTGAAAACCCTGTAGCATGTAAGTAGCTTTAAGAAAGATTTCTTGAGACTAATCATATTTTTAAAATATTTTGAAGTGCAAAATGAAATATAACCTCATAAGAAGCTCACAGAAAATGAATCTGCTATATCCAATATATGTCATTATCAATATATTTAAAGTAGTATCCATATTGAAAATATTAAAAGTTTTCTTCATTTAAGATCAGAAAATATTGAGTGGGCTTGGAGATGCTCAGGGCTTAGATTAAACATCACCCATTATAAAGAAATTGTTCAACCTCAACCTGGTAATAACTCCAGAGCTGCTAGAGAAAATTCTACTAATCTATCAACAATAAAATAAAATAACTAAAATCATTATTTTACTATAATGAAAATGACTTGGGAAATTATCACCTAAAGTTACAGTCAGTGTAGAAGAAATCAAGTGCAAAACCTAGGAGATTTTTAATTAAATAACCAGTACTCTTAATTCAGCTAAGATTTCAAGTATTTCCGTCATAGGTATTACAAATGTTAGTGTATGAAGTAGATATATTCTAGATAATTTTTTCTCTTCTATTTAATAGCTAAGTATTTTATTACAAATAGCATTGAGGACATTTATTATAAACCTTAATACTAAATACCTATTAGTAAAATGACTACATTTTACTAGAAATTTTAATTTTTCAAAAGACTAACATAATCTTTAAACATATCACAGAGCAAAACTGCAAGTTTCCTTTCATGATGCATACTTGTTAAATGTTTGAAATTCTTTGATAATTGGCCCAAACTGGGAAGAATAATAAGGAGCCTTTATGGATTTAAAAACTTCTTTTTTAAAATTTTATCTTATTGTTCAAAATATTACAAATAGTAGTACATATGTCTTTAAGAAATTCTTTATCCAGATTTTGCTCTTTTCTTTTCAGTTTTACCTCCAGCAAAAATTAATAATTCAAGGCATAACATTTCAAACTCTGGACAGTTATAAATATGGACCTAAAAGTTACCCTTTATTATTACTTAAATATTTTAATGAAAATGTATTTTACCTGCAAAATCAGTGCGGGGGATATTTCACCATTGGTTTCCGTTGAAAAAGACACCATATGCTCTGGGAAAAAATACTAACAAAAAGATACAGGTTACATTATCCCCAAACCTGTGCTAAAACAGATTCAATTGTAATCTAAGGCAAAAGTTCTTTATATCAGTGTGTTGAAAACATGAAGTGCTTTTAAAAATGCCAGTCCCTGGACTCTGCCTTCAGGTAGCTTAATGAAATGGTCAGAGTAGGACCCAGAGTAGCAAACACCGTCAGATGATGACCATAAGAGATGTGCATACCGTACCTCACTTTACACAAAACACTTCCCTCAGGACAGTGCCTGCTCCTGCATCTCTTCCCTGAGTCCTGCAACCACTCTAGCTGGTGCTAAAGGACTAGCATCACCATTTTAGAAAGTCAAAGCTCATAGAAGTAAAAGATATAGTTAAAGTCACAGCCCACCGTGTAGAAGAGCTAGAGAGCAAAAATCCAGTTCTTTCTACTCACTGTTTTTCCAAACTTGTTTAATCATAAAATTCATGTAGAGTAGTTGTTTGATATAGGAATTCCCAGGCCTCACTCACTCCTGAAGAGCCTGATTTCATAGTTCTGGATAGTCCTGGATGCTGTGTTTTTAATAAGCACTCCCCAACTCCTCCAGATAATTTTATGATCAGACAAGGTTGGCGAAATATATTCTACACTAGAGGCCCAGTGCACAAAATTCATGCAAGGGTAGGGTCCTTAAGCCTGACCGGTTGATCAGGGCCTTCCGATTGCCAGCTGAGGCCTTCCTTCTGGCTGCTGGCCAGGCCCTCCTTACCTGGCTGCCACCTGCTAGCCAGGGCCTTCTTTCATTCCACGCCACCCCCCTGGTGGTCATCGCACATCATAGCAAGTGATTGAACTTCCGGTCTCCCGGTTGAACTCTCGAGGGGACACTTTGCATATTAGCCTTTTATATATACAGATTACTTCCTCTAGAGTGGGTTTTTCAACAGTAGTTCTATTAACATTTGGTCTGATAATACTACATGGTGGGGGGAGAGGGACCTGTCCTGTACAATGTGGGATGTTTAGCAGCATTCCTGGCCTCTGCTCACTGTAAGCCCTTCCCACTCTCTTTGTGACAACCATAAACATCACCAGATGTTGTCAAATTACCACCTCTCCTGGGAACCACTGTTATAGGTCTACAAAATGAATGTATAGCCTGTTTACATTTTTAAAAAATAGATAAAACTCAGAATAAACACTAAACCAAATTTTTTAAACAATACTTTTAAATTATTGCTTTTTATAGATTCATAATAAGAAAATAAGTTTCCCTTCAAATTCCAATTCTATTTAATTTTTATTAGAACTCTTATTTTCTTTGTTAAATATCATAATGTTTTTATTAATAGGTTCAAATAAAAAAGAAGTCTTTCAGGGTTTGAAAATATTCTATCTAGGTTTCATATCATATATTCCCCATAAAGGATTATTTCAATCCAATTTTCCAAAACCTAGCGTTAAAGTGCTACAGCTGCAGAAAAAACACACACAATTTAGATAATAATCCCAGAGGCTACTCTGACTTCTCCAGATCCCTAGTCTTCATTAGAATGTGACATTCATCTATTATCATTTAAAGAGAACTACAATGAAAACAATTGTTCCTAAATAATACACTGATCTTTATTTAATTTCTACTTTGCTCAGTGATTACTTTGCTCAGAGGGAGAGAGGGAGGGAGGGAGAGAGAGAGAGAGAGATTTGTTGTTCCATTTATTTATGCATTCATTAGTTGATTCTTGGATGTGCCCTGACCAGGGACTGAGCCTTGGCATATTGGGATGATGCTCTAAGCAATTGAACTATCCTATCCTGCCAGGGCCAGATTCATGTCCATCTTAAATTTCTGGTTTAATTTACAACACTTCCAACAATCATCAGTTCATTTTTACTTTAGAAATTATATATTTTAAATTTCCCAAATTCTCTGAAAAGTATTAAACTATATTATTTTGGAACCTGCTTGGTAATACCTAATAATTTATTCTCTAAATGAAATGTATAGAATTTTTTTCTTTAAAAGCAAGAAGCAAGAGTTCTTAAAAACATGTATATAAATTTCTGTGATGATGTTGACTAATCAATGTTAGAGTAAGAAGAAAAATGACTGAAATTATAAAGGACCACAATTCTTACCTACAAGTTACCAATTAGGGAATTACATTTTATTTATGGTAATACTTTTATTCACATAAACTAAAATAAAATAAAACTAATTTATTTATTTTCCACAACTATTAATTGGGATATCACTTACCATTGGATTTTTAAAAAACTCATATTTGGCATAATTTTTTCTAAAGTATAGCTTATTTTCTTCTTCCATTCCCCAGTTAGATAGCACTTCAACCACCAGCTCATGATCTTCTATTATTCTTTCTGTAAAGAATGTTTTAGTATGTCAATGGATAGATGGATGGATAAATAAAAATATAACTAGGGAGACAAATATAGATGTAGATATATAGATCGATGCAAATATATAAAATATATTATGTATGTATTTTTACTTAAGATAGAAAATTTCAACTCAATTCCGAAATAGGTGGAATGATAAAAGTTTCTTCAATTTTGAATTAGTAATAACTGATTTTTATACCAAAGCAGACTGGAACCTGAAGAGAAAAATGACATAAAATATCACAATGTACTTTTTGCTAATTGTGAACCTTCTTTTATTGCTATTTAAATTATAATATAAGTTTGATAACGATTCAGCATTAAGAATATGGGAGTTATTCTTTTTTTCCAACTCATCATGCTGCCAAAATTAAAATATTTTCCTCCAGGATGAATAATTCAGCCCATGAAAAGAAGAAAAATTTTGACAGATTCAATATGCATTTCAGATACAAAATCTGGATAGTTAAGAAAAATTAAAATAAATGCTTTAAAAGGAAAATATTAATCCAAGTACATAACATTTTTAAGGATCCTAATTTATTGTGGCACTTTATACTTTCAAACTAATGTTCAGGGAAATACATATTGTATTAACAATGAAGATAATTAGCTAGAATGGGAAGACACTTAGGAGAAAAGTCACTTAAATGAAATAAGCAATGACAACTTTAAAGCAGTGAACATAAGGTGCAAAATACCTATTTAATAGGAAACTGTGACATTCTTAGCAGCACTATTCATAGCCACAAAATGGAAACACCCAAAATGCTTCTCAACATGAGCATTAACAAATAAGTTATCTAAAGCATCCAGTGGAATATATACTACAGCAATAAGCAGCTATATGGATAAATTTTACAAGCATAATATTAAATAAAAGAAGTCTGACACAAAGAATATATACTACACTGTTTCCCCCGAAAATTAGACAGTGTCTTATATTAATTTTTGCTCCCAAAGATGCGCTAGGTCTTATTTTCAGGGGATGTCTTATTTTTCCATGAAGAAGAATACGGTTCACATTTATTGTTAAATGAAAATAAAGGAAATTACCTGTATACGATAGTACAGTAGTTGTCAACACAAACCAGACAAACTGTGAATCCTACAGTATCAAGAATTTACTCATTTATTCAATGGCAATCATGTCATCATCTTCTGGAACATCATCATAACAATCCAATTCCTGAATTTCCTCTCTCCTGCCCCACGCTCAGCGCTCACTCTGACCTCCGCTCCGCCTCCACACAGCAGTGACATCAGGACTCGGCGAAAAGTCACTGATTGCTAGACGCCAGTCAGGGTGGCCCTAGCGACCAGTTTACGGTAAATTAATTTTCATTCTGAGACAGAGCCTGGGGGGCCTTGTTTTCGGGGGGATGCCTTATATTTCACTCAGAAGGAAACCTGTAAGTAGGTCTTATTTTTGGAGGATGTTTTATTTTTGGGGAAACACGGTACATGATTCCACTTACATAAAGTTCAACACAGGTAAAATAAACCTATGGTGTCAGAAATCAAGGTAATGCAGATAGTGGGTAAGTATGTGGGGGCTTGGTGGGAAACACTGAGCATGGGAAATATGCTGTCAATCTGGGTGTGCATACTCAGGTATATGCAATATTTGAGAATTCATTGAGTTGTCCACATATGGTTTGTTCACATTTCTTCAGGCATGTCATACTGCAATAAAATGGTAAAGAAACTGTGAAATTACTGGTGCAAAACAGGAATAGAGAACAGCCAAGTAAGAAATCTGCTTTTTCTGGGACCTTTTTGAAAGTATCCGTGTCTCAGAAATTCAACACTCAATAGTGATCTGTAACCTCTAACACCCAAACCCTTGAAAGTAATGTCATACTTAAATAGAAGCTTATTCTTCTGAAAGGAAGTTCCTGCAAGAGTGCTCAATGAATATGGATGAGTTTGAGCTACGTGTGTATCAACACTCAGTTCCTTTCCTAGCTCTGACTGCTCTTTTCCTGTCTCATTGACTAGCTCCTGTAGCTCCTTCTCCATCCTAAGATGCAGTCCGTGGCTCAATTCTTTTCTTTCCCTTTCTCTAAACCAGTGGTCGGCAAACTCATTAGTCAACAGAGCCAAATATCAACAGTACAACGATTGAAATTTCTTTAGAGAGCCAAATTTTTTAAACTTAAACTTCTTCTAATGCCTTCTTCAAAATGGGTTCGCCCAGGTCATGGTATTTTGTGGGAGAACCACACTCAAGGGGTCAAAGAGCCCATGTGGCTCTAGAGCCGCAGTTTGCCAACCACAGCTCTAAACTAATTCACGCTCCCCTTTTTAGCCATCACGTCTGTCAAGTTCCTTGAAGTGAAATATCCAGAAACAGCTGCTTTCAGTCACACTTCATTCCTAACTGCTAGACTTTCTACCTCCTCAAACACACAGTTTGTATAAAATCAAAGTCAGTAAGGTAAATCCTAAAAATATTAAACAACCGGTGCACAAAATTCATACATGGTCGGGTCCCAAGGCCTGGCCGGCAATCAGGGCCAAACTGTGGGGTGACAGTGGGGCGATTGGGGCCCCTGCTCACACCCAATTGGCCTGGCGCTGCCCGCTCACCTGCTCCACCATCCTGCTGCGGTCCCATTCTCATGGGGGCCCATTGGGCCTGCAGTGCCTCCACTGCCATCTGCTGCCAGCGCCACATCACAGATGCCCACCATGTTCTGCACCGCCTCCTGGTGGTCAGCACACATCTAACTCTGGAAGGTTGAACTCCCACCCGTGGGGACAATTGGCATATTAGCCTTTTATTGTATAGGATTCCAGCAATTCCCCTGAGTACATAACCAAAAGTGAAAGCATAGACTAGAACAGCGGTCAGCAAACTCATTAGTCAACAGAGCCAAATATCAACAGCACAATGACTAAAATTTCTTTTGAGAGCCTAATTTTTTAAGCTTAAACTTCTTCTAATGCCAATTCTTCAAAATAGACTGGCCCAGGCCATGGTATTTTGTAGAAGAGCCACATTCAAGGGGACAAAGAGCCACATGTGGCTCGCGAGCTGCAGTTTGCCGACCACAGGACTAGACCATATGTTCGTACACCAATGTTCATGGTAGCATTATTCACAGTAGCCAAAACATGGGAATATCCTAATATCCATCAACAAATGAATGGGCAAACAAAATACAGACATACAATGGAAAATTTATCCTTAAAAGGAATTAAATTCTAACATATACTACAATATGGATGAATCTTAAAGATATTATGCTATATGAAATAAGACAAACCCAAAAGAACAGATATTGCTTGACTCCATTTACATGAGGTGTCTAGAATAAACAAAACAAAATACCAGTCTAGATGGCTTACAATGCACTTTCTCTTTACTCTTCTTTAGCCCCATTCAAAAACCAAGCAGATTTTAACCAACTAAGAAATCCTAGTAATTTAAAATATTTTTCAAAACACTTAAATAAAACAAATAATTCTTTAACTAGGAGGCTCTTGGTTGCAACATTTCAAAACAATGACATTAGAAACTATCACCCAGAATGAGCTCAGATACTTTTTTGAGTTACTATTTGAAAAACTACTCCAAGCAATTTTCACATGAATTCATCGTGATTATTTTAAAGATCTTATTTTTAAAACTTCATAAATCCATCTAAAATATTATTTTAAAATAAGTTATTAAAACTTCAAAGACATACCTATATTTCCTAATGTTTCTAATAAAAAAAAAGTATTTCTCAGACATTGGAAAGTGAATTACAAGGATCAAATACCACTCCTATGTGGTATAAGAAAATAGGAGAGAGGCCCTCTTAAATCACTTCAACACAGCAACAGCCAAAAAGGAGGAAAGAAAGTCTCCAAAAGAGAAAAAAAAAATCTATTCTACAACAAAAACACTACATGCAAATAAGACAATCAATCTAGATCTGTTTCTAATAGATCGGTGTAGTATTATGGTAACAGAATGAAACTAACAAATAATGATAACTACATATAATTGTTTTCTATTTAATTTTCAGAAATGTTTTCCTTATAAAAAAGAAAAGAAAAGAAAGAAGTTCCTTCTGAAACAGTTCATTTAACTTGAGAGTTCTTTTAAAAAAACCCTCAATGGAAAGTGTTCACCTGTGACCTCCTGCTGGATTTCTTCGCTGAATCCGCTGAGAGTACAGCGTGGGGCTCAAATAGAAACCTGAGTCCCTACTCTTCTCGTCACTTGATAAGAGAAGAAACAAGAGTGGCTTTTACCTCTAATTCACCCAGAAAACAATTCTCTGGATACCTTTGTTACAGGAAACTCCAGGAGACAAATGGTCCTTGTACTTCTCTCTGTGCTAGGTAGAAACTACACACATTTTGTCAATCTTATTTCCAGATAAAAATGAGCAGCCTCTGACCAAGCAAAACAAAAACTGCAGAAGCAAAGGATAAAACAGGGCTCCGTTTCTAAGAGGTTCCTTAACCTAAGAAAACTGCTTAATACCAACAAGATCCCCTGGGAAATTGCCACGCCAGATTCAGCTCCCCAAGTCCAAGGAGAAGAAAGCTTGATACTTCAGCTTGATGGTATAAAGGCCGGTGGATAATTCCTCAGCATATCGAAATAGTCCTCATATTAACCCAGACTCTGATCACAACTTGTATTCATAGAAAGCCTTCTTTTCCCGCAGTGTTTGTATATACTTGTATATTATCTCGGGCTGACTGCTAATACCTGAAGGGTTAAGAAATGGCTCCTATGAATTCTAAGTCACCTAACACATGCTTAAAAACTCAGAGTAAATTTCCATGTGGGCCCAGCATGTTGGTTTCTTTTCTAAGTCTCTGCCTTCTGTATATGTTATAATTCACCCTTTGAACTGTTCGATAGAAATACCTTCCAGTTTAGTAGAGCTTAGTTCAAAAGCCATTTATTTGTCCTAAATCCTGGGTTACAAACATCTATGTTTACTCAGAGTTCTAACTCTCAAGGAATTACT